AACATAGATATTTTGTTTGTTTTCCATGCAAAGAAAATGTCTCCGATATTTGTAAACCATGAACAAATTGTTACCAGAACGTCTATAGAAAAGGAAGGGGAAAATAATTTGAAAATATTTTGATGTATCTTTTAATATTGAAACATATTTATTCGTAATGCACAAGGCAGATAAAAATGTACGATGGCTCAAAGGAATACTACCTCCTGTGCATTGCAAAATATATTGAAATGGTCTACTAAATTCTTTCCTAACAGCGGTGCATCGGAAAGTGATTTTAAAAACGATTTGCTTGCTATGGTATTTTGATTGCACGGAACGATGTATTTTTTTTTTTGATAAATTGGTCTCTAGATATTGTGCAACAGAAATGCATTTCTTTCGTGAAATTCGATAATGTTCGATCTGTTGGAAACGTTTCGTTTACATATACCTACCAAACTTGAAATATTGGAAACAAAAGAATCGCATGTTTCGGCCATCGATCATTTTCCATTTATTTACAAGGAGATATGTATGCTGCATACATATTTATGACCTTGCAGAATTCACAGCACCATGCATACATTAAAATGAATCTTTCAATCAAAATAATAGTAATAACTTGATTACGGTTCTTTATACGAAATACAAATTTGTTATCTCGATTGCAACAAACAGCAGTTGAATAAAAATTGTTATCACGTCGTAGGAGCTTCAATAAATTGTAAACAATATTATAACAATCTTAAATTCGTCTAATAATTTTACTGTTTTGCTAATCCATTTTCCATTATTTATAAAAAAAATAATGCAGATCGAAAAAAATTACGGATACCGTTGCATTGCTTTTAAAAAGCAGTATAACTCCTTTTTCATTTTTTTCGAATGTACACTATTTGCAAGAAAAACGCTGGCCAGAATTAGCGCGAACGCCCTTGTATATTTATGGTACTTCTTCATCTGAACGCACAGTAAATTCTCCCTAATTGACGCTCAAATTGTATACAAAAATGGACAATTTAAGAAGAAGAGATACGATTATTCTAGCTTTGTGGCTCCTTTTTATAGTTACCGATTGTCAATAACTGTAAAAACAAATATTGTCTAAATTGTTCATTTTTGTGCACAATTTGAGCATCAATTAGGGACAATTCACTGTACGTATTTCTTTTCGGTGGTTCTTTTTCGTTACTCGTCCGAAATACTTACAGAATTTCATTATACATAATCTCACATTTCGAGAAGTCCATTTTACCCGGTCCGATGGTGCCAGTATAAAAAAAGTAGTTTTATCGAAGCACCGATGAAAACTGGATTTCCTCGAATACAGTTTTCCAATACCCATGCTTGTCCTTCTTTTCGAGCTTCGTCCCCTCCGTTCCCGTCTTCTTCACCACGATGTTTCCAGGAGAGACAAACATAATCTACACGCAAACACACTCTCGACCCGGTCAGAGACACGATGGCCGATGTTGACAGGTTATTGGCAGTTCAAGGGCTGAAAATGCCCGACCGGCAGTATCGGTCCCCATTTTCCAGCTTTACGATGACGACCATTGTTATTGGCATAGTAGCCCCACCAGCGGAAAATTGTTGGCGATCGTTTGGATGGCGGGTGTTTAAAAGAAAAAGGTGACTATGACTCTCGGCGTATACACTTAATCACCACTCTATTTGAAAAGCCGGCTTTTTTTAGCGATAGATTACCGTCGTAAATGGCGAAGTCGTTTCTTTTTTTCTAAAGGACTGTCATGATACCGAAATAAACTATGGTGTTTGCGACAGCGATAAATATTTGTAGAAAGCAAATTCTTGTTCAACTTTGTGTTCAAATGTAAAGTTGAATTATTGCTGATTAAATAATGGGTTAAATGATGTTTTACTTGCTTTATTATTAAAATGTAAATTAACGTTGAACACTTTTGTTCGGAATTTATGTGTTGATTAATTCGTAGCCTTTTAATTGCTTGTTTGAGATGAAACAGAAATGAAAAATTGCAACATGGAAATTTGTAATATATCTATGTTTTACAAACGTCCGAACAGAACAGCTTAATAAATTGTGATATTAAGTATTAATGATTTTCTATAGTAAACGACACTTTAATCATGCACGACGACGCATGCAATCTTAATAATTCCGTTCAAGTATTTTAATATATTTATGTTTATAGTTTGACATTGCCTATTAATGTAATTTTCAATTACGAGTTAATTAACTTTTGGTGTGACGTATGCGATTTAATTTTTAACTACAAATTGACACTGATTTGATTCAATTTCAAATTTTGTATCGTAGATGCATTTCATTACAAATTATTTCGCGCTGTGGGAACCATCAATCACTTCATAAGAAGGATCCAGTTCACAATTGCATCATTACAAATGTATTATAGCATGTATTATTTCGAATGATAATAATAATTCATTATAATACAAATATATTTCATAATTATCATATAAAACAGAAAGATTATCCAATTGTATGGTATTGATGGTATAGTTCAATCTAAAATGTAACGACGCTTTAAAATCTCAAAATGTGAACTTGCAAATTTTGTTTAACATTTTTTCTACGACAGATAATAAATGAGATAATTAATTTTCATCTGCTCCTGCGTTAAATTCATCAGTTTCAAGTTTTAGGTGCTTTCAATTTGATTTATTTATAACTGCATCGTAATGCGATATATTTATTTAAAATCTGATATTTTGAACAAGTCAAAAGTAAAAATGACAAGATTAGATTTTTATTTAGATTCTGCACAATTTTTTTATTGTAATGTAAGTTCAAAGAGGGAATGTTATGTAATCATTAATCTGCGGATTTTTATGCAAATTCTCATTTTCAGGAATCGTTTCATAAAAATCTGAAGTACAAGTTTCTTTTTACGCCTACTAGAAAATTCCTTGTGCTACACATGGAACAACAACAGAATTAATTTTTGTTAATGTGCACGTTCACTTCCATTTTATAAACGTACATTTCACAAACTTGCATCTTTTTCAATGAATGCACTTGCATAATCCCAATAATTATGATAATAATTAATTAATAATAATTAATATTCTATTTTTATTGTTCCGAGATGCAACCCTTAGAGAACTGGAGAGCCAATATATTTGCTCGAGCGATGACTAGATTGCAGATCTTTATGCAAAATCAAAATGTTTCTTTCTTTTGTCAATGATTTTAATAGTTAGAAAATGACATATTGGTTTTTCTTAAATCTTTCCTATTTTTTAACTGTTTACAATTTTACGTAGACAATTTCCTAATAATAATTTTCTAATAAATACATATATACAGTAATTTGTCCCTAATTCGCGCTCAGATTGCGCACAAAAATGGACAATTTGGGAAGAGTAGACACGATTATTTGAGCCTTGCGTCTCGTTTTTATAGTTGTCGTGCGCAATCTGAGCGCGAATTAGGGAGAAATTATATTGTAATCATTTTTATAGAATAAGACTATTTACTTATACGAATAAAGTGCATGCTGAAATACCTTCTTCGATGATGACGTCGATGACGCCGCTTCGATGTATTCTGCGTGTTGGTCTCTGTTCTGATGGTGAACACTTCCTGGATTTTCCCCATCTGATTGGCAACCCCGGCGGAGCCGACGGGAGTGTTGGATTCGCGGGATGATTTCAGGAAGGCGTTCATTGGCTTCGTGGCGTTTACAATCGGTATCGCGAGCGGTGTTTGATAACCCTGCTTCCGACCTGAGTGCCTCTTTTTCGTCGGTGGGGTCGTCGACTCCAACCTGAAAGATTCAACGAATCTATGGGACAAATGCGCGTGCGTGCAAATTCTTTGCAAATACAGTAAATTCTCCCCAATTGACCCTGAGCTTGGAAACAAATATGGACAATTTCGGAAGAGGAGGTACGATTATTCGAGTCTCGCGGCGCTCGTTTTTATACTTGTTGACAATTGGCGACTATAAAATCTACTGCGAAGCTGGAATAATCGTATCGCCTCTTCCCGAATTGTCCATTTATGTGTACAAGCTGACGGCCAATTAGGGAGAATTTACTATACGTGCACAACTTATGACTCCTACCACTGGCAAGAAACATTTGATCAGTATTGTGAGTACAATTTTTGAAAGAATCTGGGCTTTTATTATTTATGGCATTGTTCTCAAATACTTTGGTGTAATTTTAATACCATTATCGGTTGTTCTTGAACAAAGCTTATTAATAGACCGCGGATTTTATGAATATATGTACTATATGTCAAGTACAAAACAGCGAAAATATTTAATTTATTGCAAAATACAATCGCGTCATTTTTAACTCGTTAAAATAATTGAAGAAAGAAAGGAATGTCTGAGAAGTTCCTGCATCTTGAAATTGATTCAGATAATTTTTATTTTAATGATATTCCACAGTCTGATCATTAAACGTCACTTTTGTGTAGTCCCAGTTACTAGCAACTATATACAGTTGCCAGCTACTAGTTACAGTGATCATTTACGGGGCTATTAAAAATAATATTAGTTCGTCCTGTAATTTATTTAGCGGTAGTACTTATTTACATATTTTTTTTCGACAGGTTTTTTAAAGATTAGGAATAAATGAAATGACATTTACGCGAAAGTGTTCTACAACATTTTGCAAATATCTTATGCTAACGTTTCTACAACCAGAGTTCCCGATAATTTTCATTTCTACAGCAAGTCGAGGTGTAATAAACAAAACGTGATGCCGATTAAATTATTGCCCGTTATTAATTTATGCTGCGCGTAAATATGAAAGTCACCTCAATTGCTTTAATTTGTATTCCATATAAATCGCTGGCTATTTTTAACATAAATTTATCATTGTTCGCGATACTTGTTTAAACGTACACGTGTCGACGTTACAATTGCTTTTGTAAATCAATACTGCAGCCACAATTAAAATGATTCGTGATTTCGCGTGTGTGGTACAATTTTCACTCAAGATAAACGTTCTTTAAACGCGATATAATTCCAAACGGAGGAAACAGATAAAATAAAGGTAATTTAAAAAAATACAGAATTGAAAGTAGGTAAAAGTCTATGTTTAATCCTACGGTTAATACTGGTACGTAAATTGGATCTATCTAATCCAAAATGAAGTTATAAATTTTTGTTCTTTTTATCATACTAATACTTGCTATCATACTAATATTAACAATAACATAATAATACTTGAAGAGAAACTTTATGATATCCTCGAATATAAAAATATATTTTTTATAGAAACTCAATTTGTAATAGATTTTTAATAGAAAGTTAAATTGTAATATCGTTTTATATAAATTACAACAGATATTCATAATATAAATTTAAACTGCTATACTTTTGATAGAAATTTAAAATACAATCGATTTTTAATAGAGCTCTAAATTATAATTAGAGGTTGCATAGTAAACATTAATAACCTTCTCAGAAAGAAATGTATCCTTAACAAAAATGACTGCCCATATATAGTTAGTCTATATATAATATATGACTGAATATTATCATTTCATCAGAACGCAATAACTTTTTTAAATGACTTGAATTTTGATGAGATGTTAGACTAACCATTTCACTGAGCAATGCCTGAAACAATTTTTGCATATATCATAATTTGGAATGACAAAAAAGAAGATTAGAAAACCATGTTTTCCAATTTTTGTGTAACGTCTTGAAAAAATTCGGTCCGCTTGGTGCAATATGAAAAAAATAATTGCGTTTCAAAGGTTGTCCAAAACCTATTATCATCACTCACCGTGCATAGAATTTATGGGCCAGATTAGTCTTACGCAAACAGGAATGCGATGATCCAGAAATTTGAGGAGAATTTAGCGATGCAAGGAGCCATTGTTTTTCCCGTTTTATAATTACTTTCGCGGTTCTCAAGTTTCCCCCCCCCCCACATCTGACTCGAACTGCAGCACAGTCCGTGGATATCTGTTCGAGGAGAAGAAATCTCTCGGCCGGAGCCCGCCGTGTGTGCGTAATTTCCGCATAAAAGTTTCGAGAGTTTTGCTCTACCTGAACTCGACACCCTCGTCTCGCACTCCGGGGCCGACGTCGTCGTTCCTCGCGTCAAAACTGAAATCACCCGCGACTTCGCCGTCCATGCTGTATTGATTCCGGTCCACCATAATTGGTTCGGATTTCTCTCTTGAAGACGCGATCTCCTCGTTCTCCTGATGCGTCCCGTTAGCGTCGTGCTCATTTTTAAACTGGAGGATCTCTGAAACCAGAACTGCCGGTGACACGACGTCGAAAACAAAGCCGCCCATCCGGGAAACGAACGGGGTCCCGGCCCGGGGACACCGTCGCGCGAGACAAACTTTCGTTTCTTCTTCTTTTACTATTCCCCTTATTTTCCTGTTTTCTGTTTACCTGTGAGACCCTCTTCCTCGACCTGGAGACCCTCTTTCAGGACTTCCTCCCGATACTTCTCCAGCTCCTCCAGATAACTCTTGTTCAGCTTTTGCTGCCGCCACTCCGTCTCATACTGTATGTTTGGCAGTGCGATGTCGCCCAAGAAACCACCTGCAATCAAACAGTCGGAGCTGGCTAAGATCTAGGGAAAACAAATACTGTTTTAAGCGACAGTTCCCTTACAGTNTCTGTTTACCTGTGAGACCCTCTTCCTCGACCTGGAGACCCTCTTTCAGGACTTCCTCCCGATACTTCTCCAGCTCCTCCAGATAACTCTTGTTCAGCTTTTGCTGCCGCCACTCCGTCTCATACTGTATGTTTGGCAGTGCGATGTCGCCCAAGAAACCACCTGCAATCAAACAGTCGGAGCTGGCTAAGATCTAGGGAAAACAAATACTGTTTTAAGCGACAGTTCCCTTACAGT